AAATAAATATATTAAATAATATGAGAAATAAACAAATCTTTGCTAGATATATACATCTATCAAATATTAAATAAATTTATTAAATAACACTAACAAATAAATATAATAAATAACATAATAAGTAATAATATTTACCAAAATAATATATATGAAATAATATAATAAATAATAATATTTACCAAATAAATAAATATATTAAATTGATTTAGTATATTGAATAATATTTATTTACTAAAATAATATTTAGTAAATAATTTTTTTTAACTATTAATACATAAACATATAATTTGGTAAATAATATTTACTAAATAAATATTAATTATTACTATACTATTTAATAATATTAAATATTAATAAATATATCAATTATATTATTTAATATATTATTTAACATTCTTAAATAAAAATTAAATAATTTATTAATTAAAATTATTTAATTTATTTAAATAAAAATTATATAAGTGAAAATTATTTAAAATTGTATTAATATTTAATATTATTAAATAAATTATTTAATATTATTATTTATTATATTTTATATTACTATTTAAATATTGTTTCAAAATTAATTTAGTAAATATTATTATTTATTAAATTATTTACATATTTATTTATTATATTAATTAATATATTTAATTCTATGGGTAATATTATTATTTTTTATATTATTTAATATATATTTATTTGGTAAATATTTATGTAATATAAAAATCAAATTTATTATACTATTTAATTTATACTTATTTAGTTTTTAAATATTTATTTATTTATTATACTATTTAATATATTATTTATTTGGTAATTATTATTATTTAATGTATTATTTAATATATTTATTTATTTGGTAAATATTTACTTAAAATACAAATTAATATAATTATAATATTTAATATTCTTATTTACTATATTATTGAATATGTTTATTTAGTATATTTAATTTATACATTTATTTTATAAGTAAGTTATTTTATGTATTATTATTATTTTATACTTGTATTATTATTATTATTATTATTATTATTATTATTATTATTATTTGATAAAAAGATTTTGAATTGTTGATAGATAAATATATTTGAAGTCAATTTTCTAACATATTTTCTTGTTGGTCCAGCGGCTAGTCGGCCTTATTTGTGCATGAGAGGTGCGGTGTTAAGGTCAATTTTTTTGATAATTTGCCACTTGTGCCACGTCAGCAAAATAAAAAAAATAAAATGAATTTCCACGTAGGCAGAGCAGGTCACTGTGACCTGCTGTAGGCGGTCAGAGGACCAAAAAACTAATTTTTTTTTTCAGTTAGGGGACTATTTCTAAAAACGATCCATTTACGAGACCAAATTGAAAACGACCTGCAGATAAAGGACCAAAAAAAATTTTTTTTCCGCAATTTCTTTATGAACCAAATATGCATTGTGTATGAAGTAAATTTGCGATCAAAATATGCAGTTTATATGAACTAAATATGTATTGATATGAACTAAATATTTTTTTTTTATAAATTAAATGTGCAACAATAATATCAACTAATTATATGTTGTTTATGAACTAAATATTCACTTTCCATGAACTAAATGTATATTTCGTATATATAAACTAAATATATATGCTAAATATGTATTTTTTATAAACCAAATATGAATTGTGTATGAAATAAATTTGCACATAAAATATGCAGTTTATATGAACTAAACGTGTAGTCAAAATATGCAATTGACAATAATATCCTGGAGCTTTCTGTTGTGTTTGTGTTGTCAGTTTAAGTATACATTATTGATAACGAAAATATGGATTGTATATATCTAAATATGCATAAAAAATAAAGTAAATGAACATTTATTCTATAATAAAAAATCTAAGGGCTATAATGCAGTTATTCACACCTTAAATAAATTACATATTGAACTCCAAAGATCAAAATGCAATAACTTATAAGTTTTTGAAATTGCAACTGAACTCCTATAGTCTATCTATTTTTTTTTTTTTTTTTAACAAGCATGTCTAGCCCCAAAACTGATTCCCAAAATCGAACAATCCGACACGCCAGTGATGGCACTCCTGTGAGTCCAATTGAAGTCTAAAAAATGCATCCCTTGTTATCGCCTAGTGATGGCGCTCTTGTGCATTAAAGGACAGATGGCCAGACATGGCTGCATGAACTGTGGCAACGCGAGAAGGCTGAAAAATTTTCCAATCGGACCTTTGCGGCAAGAAGACAACCACATCGTTGCAACGACGATCAGTTGAAGAAGCCGAACGTCGTCTAAATGTTTTTCCAATCCCCCGTAGTTGGCGAAGAGCTCCTGACCGAGCCCACCGGCCGGAATATGAGGTTCTCAGCGATGTTGACCGGTCAATGGTCGTCGGCTGGCTATCAACATTGGTCAACAAAAATAAATTTATTTATTTATTATATAATAAATTTAAATATAATAATTAATATATTTTATTATTTAATGTAACATTGATCTACACAAAATCAATGGCTAAGATGAATTTCATATACATACACATACACACAAAGATCAATCCGAAAAATAAAATAATTATGCACATACAAAACATGAACCCAAAAATAAAGTTTTTAAAATATAAAAAGGGTAAAATATTTTTTCCCACCCGAACTATCACGGTTTTGGCGCATCACCATATAAACTATTTTTTTTTTTACAAACCACCATATGAACTATACGAGTTTGTCAATGTGCCCACTAAACCAGATATAAAAGTGGTTTTTGACTAAAAAAAGATGTTTTTAATGGCATTTTAGTAATTTCACACATTTTTCAGAAAATAAAAAAAATGAAAATAAATTAAGTTGGTTTCAAAAAATAAAAAGAAAATAAAAAAAATAAAGACAACGAGAAATGAAGCTCGTTCCAAAATGCCTTGGACCAGAAATACCTGCTACGCCACCGGATCCCCCGCCGGCTTGCACCGTCGCCGGCCCCACCACCGCCCGTTCGTAGTGGAAACCGATGCATGTGACGACAATTGAGGGCACATCACGTCG